GGCGCCCAGCCAGCCCCCGCCTAAACCTCTTGGCCCCCAAACCGCGTCTCCGGCACCTTAAACCGCGTCATCGCCCCCTAAACCATATCTCAGTCCCCTTAAACCGTGTCTCTGTCCCCTAAACCCCGTCTTTGTCCCCTTAGACCGTGTCTCCGTCCCCTAAACCACGGTGTCATCCCCTAAACCGCGTCTCCATCCCCTTAAGCCCCATCTTCGTCCCCCTAAACCCCATCTTTGTCCCCTTAGACCGTGTCTCCGTCCCCTAAACCCCATCTTGTCCCCTTAGACTGCATCTTCATCCCCTAAACCCCGTCTTTGTCCCCTTAGACCTCATCTTCATCCCCTTAAACCCATCTTCGTCCCCCTAAACCCCGTCTTCACCCCCTAAACCCATCTTCACCCCCTTAGACCCCATCTCTGTCCCCTAAACCCCATCTCTGTCCCCTAAATCCCGTCTTTGTCCCCTAAACCGCGTCGTCGCCCCCTTAAACCACATCTTCATCCCCCTTAACCACATCTTCATCCCCCTTAAACCGCGTCTTTGTTCCCTTAAACCGCGTCTTCGTCCCCTAAACCTCTGATCCATCCATCCGTCCCCTAAACCTCTTCTTTGACTCCCAAACGCCTCCTCTGTTCCCTCTAAGCCTCGCCTCCGTCCCCCAAACCTCGCATCTGTTTGTCTGGCCCCCAAATCTTGAGTCCGTCCCTCCCTTAAACTCGTTCCCCCTTAAACCTCTTATCCTTCGTCCCCTGATCCCCCCACCCGTCTCCTAAGCTTGGCCTTCGTCCCCCAGATCTCTTCCTTGTCCCTTAAACCTCGTGCCCATCTCCCCCTAAACCCGGCCTTTGCCCCCTTAAACCCATCCTTCACCTCCTAAACCCATCCTTCGCTTCCTTAAACCCGTCCTTCGCCCCCCTAAACCCGCCATTTGTCCCCTAAACCTGGCCTTCGTCCCCTAAAACCCGGCCTTCGTCCCCTAAGCCCATCCTTCGTCCCCTAAAACCTGGCCTTTGCCCCCTTAAACCCAGCCTTCATCCCCCTAAATCTGGCCTTCGTCCCCTTAAACCCGGCCTTTGCCTCCTTAAACCCAGCCTTTGCCCCCTAAAACCCATCCTTCGCCCCTTACACCCGCCCTTCGTCCCCCTTACACCCGCCCTTTGTCCCCCTAAACCCGTCCTTTGTCCCCTAAACCAGGCCTTTGCCCCTTACACCCGGCCTTCGCCCCCCTAAAACCCGGCCTTCGCCCCCTCAACCTCTCCTTTGTCCCCCAAACCCCTCGCCCGTCCCGGCAGAGCCTGGAGGAGCTGGACCTGAGCCTAAACCCCCTGGGCGCCGCCGGCTGCCGGCCCCTGGCCC